ATTATTTCGGATAAATTTGAAAGCCCCAATTCTAACCCTAATTTCGAAAACCCTAAGCCCAACAACAACCAACAAATACACAATTAACAATTTATAACAAAATTCCAATCTCCAATTCAACATATACACATATTCGATAAACAATTAACAATTCCTAATGTCCAAACAACACCACATTCAAACATATTATAACAATTCCAATTTCCAAACAACTCCAAACAATGTAAAAAGTTAAGATAAGCCAATATACCTTGTGCGAATGAATTAACCGGAAATGAGACTCGTGTCGTTGTTATCGATTTGCGTCGGGTAGGATTGTATTTTTTTTTTCCACCGGAAATGAGTCGCAGAAGGAGATTTTTTTCCGTCTGAAGAGAGAAACGAGATGCGCAAATGAGGGAGAAGAGAGATTTTTTTTTTATATATTTTATTGTAAAACATATTCTCAGAATACGTTTTACTTTTAATTATTTGTAAAACGTATTCGTAAAATACATTTCTATTTTTTTATTTTTTTTATTGGTAAATTCAAATTTATAAAGGTATTTTGAAAATACGTTTTATAATTACTATTTTTAATTCTATTCCACTACTAAACGGAAATATTTTTTTTTTAAAAAAAATATTAGTAAAACGTATTACGAGAATACGTTTTTCTAATAAATCACCCGTTTAACATAATCGCCCATGGTGTAATAATTTTCAGGACCGATGTGCATTTCTAGTCCAAAGCATGTAAATGTAATGCTACAAGCGCCCGAAGCACTATTCCTCTGTAGCCAGTGGTCGGACACCACGTACCAATCATTTCATTGTGTGATTAAAAATATTCATCATTCTATAGAAAAGAAAACATAAAAGGACCATATTTATTCATAGGTAAAGCTTACATGTGACTCGATCACACCTCATTTCCATCTCATCACATCCTAAACTTTGCTTAAAAGGAAACTAGCTATAAAGGTCCCGATCTTATCAAGAAGTATGCCTCATTCTTCTTATAATTCTTCTGTTCTCTATGAAACTTTAATAAGTTATAATAACCTTATCTTTAATGTAGTTTATGAGGCACAACTCACAATTATAATAGTAATCTAAAAATGTTAGAGAGGTGTGTGTGACACAGGTCGAATATAATTTTTCTATTAAATTGCATTTTGACATGCTGTATAAGAGAATACATATATAAAAATATAATATTATAAAAAATAAGAATATTTTTATTAAATAAATTATAACAATGAGACGTCTATTAGGTAAATCGTCTCACACCAACCTCCATGATCTAAAATTGTTATTAATCAATTAAATCAACTAGTGCAGAGCCCGTGCGATGCACAAGGTGCATAATTTTAAGACTATTTATCTAGACTTATAATTATATACATGAATAAAAAATATACGAAATATATGTTATACGTGACCTGTGCGAGGCACGAGATATATTTATTTGGGGAATATTATATTATAAGATGCAATATAAAATAAAAGTTTTATAATACGTAGGAAAATTGTACAATAAGATAATATTGGACAAAGAAACAATCATATATTATTAAATCTACACAAACTATAAGTATTATAATGACTCAATATTTTGAGATTTATAATATATAATTGGTAAAGTAGAATCAATATTTGTTAAGATTTTTAAGAAAAAACTAGTATGTGGCCCGTGCGATGCACGGGAAACAATATTATAATTATATTATAAATTAAATATATAAATAACATTAATCATGATTCATCCATTGTTTTTAAATCAAACCGGGTTGGACACAATCCGACTGGATGGACCGAGAACCGCTTTATAACCAGTCTAGTTCGTTTGAATAAAATTATTGTTATCGAATCCGTCAACACCAATTGGTTGGATTAGTAGAATCGATATGATTTTCTAAATAAATTTTGGTACATTTAAAATTATTTTAAATAAAAGTATATATTTAAATAAAATAGAAATTTATAAAAATTTGATCAATTAGTTTAAACATTTGAATCTATAAATTGTTTAGATATTTAAGTAACACATTTTATTTGAACTTATTACAAAAAGTACTCTATATATATTAAAATGTTTATAAATTAGAATTTGATTAAACCAAAAATGATTTAATAAAATAACTTGATCGTATAAATATTAATCATTAAACATGTTCTTATTGTTAATATGATTATTTGAAGTTTGGACAATTGAACTACATCACATTCACGCAATAAAGTATGTTCAATATTAAAATTTATATTTAAGTTCAATTATCGATTTGGTATGGTCAAACTGATACATAACTTAGTCACTTGGACCATCCAAGTTGTGTCAAATTTTTTTACTATTTTAAATATCACCTAAAGTAATTCAATCAACATGGACATTATCATAATTCAATCAGCCGATTGATCCAAAGAAATTTTCTTACTTTATTTAAATATATTTAATTCATGAAATAAAATTATTTTATGATTCATATTATAAATGTCTAAACCAACTGATAGTATATTAGAATTATAATTATATATCTAACGATGAATTATTTATTTTTCTTTATGTGTATTAATAAAAAATAAACATAGTAATTTTCAAAAAAAATAAGATTAATTGATAGATTATAAAATTTAAAGAATATTTTTAGCGTTCAATTTTTTATTTTTTTTAAAGGACACAAATATAAATACCGAGATTCTAAAACTTTTGTTATATTTCGAATTGAGATTTTTTAAATATAGAGACGGAGATTTTAATGTTGTTCGTTGTTTCTACGAAAAAAATAAAAATAAAAATGTGCACACTTAACAGATCTTAGCTGGATTTTTTAAACAATAAAATAGACTACAGCTCGAAATTTAAGGTAGCATTTAATACTGTATGATTTTTTAAAGAAAAAAATAAGAAAAATAATAAAAGTTACTATTTGTAAATTATGTATTATATTGAAAAAAAAATTGAATTAAAAAATTATACTTGTAAGTTTTATGCATTTTTATTTATTGAAACTATGGGCAGTATACTCGACTATACATTAATTATAGATGTATTCTAATTTCTCTAAATTACGGATGTATACAAACAAAAAAAAGAAAGAAAGAAAAAAAACACAATGCTATAATTTTGGAAACATGCGTGAGATTTGTGAAGCTATTATTACGTTTTTTATTTTCCAAATCCACAATTTAGGCTGCATTTAATGCTTGGCAATTTGATGTTTAAAAAAATTCAGAAAAATTCCAAAAATGGCATGCAATTGATATTGTTAAATTTGTTACTTACTATTTTTGGTAAATAGTAATTCTTATTATATATATATAGATATTGATATACGCAAATCACATTATATGTAAAGGAACAAATCAGATCAGATTTTCCATACAATTAGATAAGATTTTTTGTACAAAGATAAGAAGAAATTTTAAATCTACACAAACTATAAATATTAGACTTAACAAATATTGATATACGCAAATCACATTATATGTAAAGGAACAAATCAGATCAGATTTTCCATACAATTAGATAAGATTTTTTGTACAAAGATAAGAAGAAATTTTAAATCTACACAAACTATAAATATTAGATGTATTGATTTACGTAAATCAATATCTATATAGACAACCAAACCCTTCAATTTAGGCTTGAAATCTGATTTATTTTTGGTAAAATCAAGATTTTATCTTCTGATCAAATCTGCATTTTTTTTTGTTTTACGTACAATTTTTTTGTACCAATTTTATTGGAAAAACGATTAAATAATAATAAGATTTTACCATACAATAATAAGATTAAAACAATTAAATAAGATTAAAACAATTAAATAAGATTTTCTATATAATAATAATAAGATTTTTTGTAAAAATATAAGAAAGAATTTTCAATCTACACAATCTTTAAACATTAGATGTATTTACGTAAATCAATAGACAACTAAACCCTTCAATTTAGGCTTGACATTTGCTTTATTTATGGGTGACGTAAAATAAAGATTTAATTTTGACCGATTAAATCTTTATTTATAGGCTTGACATATAAAACCGATTTTATGGAATTTTTTTTAACTAAACGATGTTATGGGATAAAACAAATCTATACTTACCTTTGACTTTTCCTGCAAAGATAAAAAAATCGGTTCTGATTTTTATCTCATAACAAATCTTTAATGTCATGCATATAAATACCAAAACAAATCTATAATTAATGTCATTCTATTTTCAGCAAACATTAATTACCTTTGACTTTTCTACCTATTATTTCTAGTAAATAGAATGACTTTTTATATAAGTATAGATAGAAAACTGTCATACGAATTAATTTATTCTAATTTTCAAACTAAATTTATTCTTATGCCGAAATATATCACAATCTAAAATAAGTTAGATATAATCAAAAATGGTTTTTATCGCATTTAAATAAGTGAGCTTTTATAATGTACATCTTGTTTTATAATATATCTCAAGTAGTTGCATTTAAATAAGTGAGCTTTTATAAGGTACATCATGTTATACAATATATGTAGCAAAAACTAAAATATTTGACAAATCTCGTGTAACTTTCAAACCAAGAAAAAATTATCATGGTCTTGTATCACATGATGTCTTTTTAAATAAATGTAATAATTAGAGGTTAGAAAATTCAAAATCATTTATAAAAAATAATTATATCTATTTTTATTAAAACTATAATATAATTAAAAAGTATTCTAATGTTCTAGTCATTTAAAATGATATTAATAATACAATTTCTATTTAAAACTTTTTAATATTGTTTTTTTTTAAAATATATGCACATATTTCTTAATTTAATACTTAATTTAATACAAGTGTACAAGTCACAACTACTAGCTACAATAGTAATAAAGATTATGATTTATTTTAAATTTTAGTTTTGAGTGTTGTACTAGCTTATAACTAATTGTGGTTATTTTAAATTTTAGTTTTGAAAAATGAAAAGGTAATTTACATAAAAAGGAAAAACCTTTCATGCAGCGAAAAAGCCCAAAACAAAGAATCTTATCGATATCGATTTAAAGACATTCCGACACCACCAAGCACCTCCCCCATCTCTCTTCTCTCTCTCTCACACATACACACAAACTCACACACAGACACTCTTTTCCTTGAACTCTGCAACTCCCGAGCTAACTCAGTTAAAATAACCACGAGTTACTACGAAGCCTCAAACGAAGTGAAAATTTTACCTTTTATTTATCTTTTCAAGATCTATTCTTTTATTCTTGTCCTTATTCTTCGTCTCTTTCATTTTTTTTTTTTCATTTTCCGTTTGAACTCTGAGAAATAGAGTTCACAATAGAGATCTGCTGCAAATGTTTCGCCTTTCACTTTTCATCTTTTTCGTCCTGGTATTCTCCCTTTTCCTCTCTATGTAATTTTCTTTTCATTCTACTTTTGATTTTGCGAATTATTCTTGTTTGTGCAGACAGCGAATAAACAGGTGTTCCTAGCCTTTTCTGCAAAGAGAAATTTGTTATTGTTTCTGGGCTTTCGATGTTTCCTTTTTTAAATGAGTAAAGTTGCAATTTTGTTAATGGGTTTTATGACAAGTGCCCTCTTAACTCGGAACAGACTTTGGTTTCACATTTATTTCATTTTTCTTCCTTTTTTTCTTTCCCTTTCATCAGAATTTTTTTGTATTTCATTTCTCCTTTTATTTTTATTGAAATTGAAAAATAAATCGAAATTGAAGAACTAAACTTTCCATGGTTATTATGTTTCGTCTAGGGAGGGTACCTGCAAGAATGTGAAAAAATAACAACTTTTGGTTTAAAAATTAGTTTTAAGCTAGAATGGCAGCTGATATTGCCCATACTAGAGCTAGAAAATTCATTCCAGAATGCAGATATATATACATTAGTAATTTCCCATTAAAGATGCATTGGCAGATTGCATATTTTCATTGTCATTTCTGGAAGATTATGCTGGCAAAAATGCAATTTGGCCAGGAATACAGTTGTCTCTAATTAGATAAATTTCCCATCAACTAAATTTAGAATATTATAAAGTGGAGTCAAAGAAAATATAGGATTTATTATGCGTCATGTACATTTAGCGTACGGGCACCTCCCTAGCATGAAATCTATTCATATCGAGAAATGTTGCCAAAGAAAGCTGAAGTAAATCCTTCCTCAGATTTTCTGTTTTAGTACCAGGACTGAAAAGTTTTTATGCTTTTCATGTTTTAAGAATGTACCTAGTATCAATGTCCAAATGCTACTCATAATTATGCCATATGCAAGTTGGATCGATGGCTTTATTGATACTTGATTAAATTAGTTCTTGCCGATTTGAAGCATACCTTAATATTTTCAGTACCAGATGATAGTTTGTTAAGTTGCCTTCCGTAGTCCGTAAATCTTTTGATATTGGCTTTTTTCCTTATATCTAGTGTTATTCTTGTCTCAGCTCTTGGCAAATGGATCGAAGAAAGTGAGAGCTGTTAGTCACAGCAAGGCAGGTACTTTCCTTTGTATCTATTCTCATCGTGTGCTTGTTTGTGTTGTCCCCAAATTGAATTAGACAAGTTTCAATTGATGGTAGTAGTTTATTATATTGTTCACATATTTATACTGAGATATGTCATTTCTTTGATAAAAGGGAATAACTTTAAATTGTATCTGGTATAGTGCACGATTGATTAGTTGTTGGTTGGTGCTTCAGTGCTTCTTGTGGCTTGGCTCTCATTTCATGACAATTTTCACATTATAGCTGCGGTTTGAATTTCACATGTTTATTCTGAAGTAATAAACTCCTGTTACTATATTACATATCAAAATATCCACTGAATTTGGATTTTATCATTGAATGGGAATCAGTAGGCCGGTTGTGCCACTTCTTTCTTCGGTTTACTCATATGACGGGTTTTAATTCACTTAAAAATTATGATACGTGTTGTGCTGTATGTGCAGACATTGCAAATATATCATCTAGTTCGGCAGTAACACATGCCGTCAGTCATCAGGTGGCAGGTATGAAAACGCATCTAAGTTGAATATGATATTTGTGCATCAGAACTCGTTATTTTTACCCAAAAATAGTACGTTTGATTGCATACTAGATTTCTTGAGTAAGTTTGGATTATTTATTTACTTGTTATTTCAGTGGGTGGTATTGGTGCCAATTGGGGGTCCCAATCTTCCCACAGGCTTCGGCCAGAAATTGTGGTGAGGATGCTGAGGGAAAATGGGATTCAAAAGGTGAAGCTTTTTGACGCCGATTATGACACTTTACGGGCCTTAGCTGGGTCCGGGATTCAGGTTATGGTGGGAATCCCAAACGACATGCTGTCAACGCTGGCGGGAAGCTCCAAGGCTGCCGAGAGGTGGGTCTCCCAGAATGTGACACATCATCTCTCCAGAAATGTCATGATCAGGTCCGTTTTTCTTTTATGCGTATTACCACTATGTTACACGTGAGAGTTAGTTGAAGATCTCGTTGTGTGAGGCTTTTAACTACATAACCTTCCTCTCATGATTAGTCTCACTTATTTCTATTGTGTGAGTACATTCTTATTGTAATTTGTGCGAGACAAAACATGATGTATTTTCCGTTTGCCTTTCTTTGAAACTAAACTAGGAACTCGGGTAATATATCTTAAGTTGCCCTTAAACCCAGAATCAAAATCTTCTTTTCCTGTTACAAGTATATATCTATGGTGCGGGGGGTGGCAATGCCTGACTAAGGCACGATTGGAAAACACAATTACTGAGAAAAAAGGTCAACACAACACAGAATGACACGAAACACCACATGAAATCACGAAAAATGGAAAATATAGGTAAATTTAGCCGTAGTAGTTTTCATACTAATATGATTAGTAGACAAATAAGCTAGCTTATAAGTCTGTATTTAAATAAGTTTCGTTTGGTAGGACGAGCTTATTTAAAAAGCTCGAGCTTATCTCATAAGCTTTTTGGGTAGTTTTTCAAATAAGCTCGGTGAAATTTTTATTTCAGCTAGCTTGTCAGCCAATTTTATCAAACAATTTTTTATCATATAAGCTAGCTTTTCAGCTTTAAGTCATAAGCCATAAGCTAAAAATGACTGCTAGTTTTACCAAACATAGCCAAAATAACACGAAAACCAGACACGATACATGGTTTTCCACCCCTACTATCGCTTACATTGCTCCATTTCTCTCAAAATCAACTACTCGCTCGTCATTAAGAGTCTCAAATTGTGCTCGGTCCATAATCGAATCTAGAATCTATAGACTAAAGCAGAATGCTAAAGTGCGCGTAAAAGTAATTCAACTCTGTGTGTATCCATCCACTAATATAAATATATATAATCTTTTTTCCCCGGTTAGGTACGTGGCGGTTGGAAACGAGCCCTTCTTGGAGACCTACAACGGTAGCTTCCTCCGAACCACCTTCCCCGCCCTCCGCAACATCCAACAAGCCCTCGCCAACGCCGGCCACCAAACCCAGGTAAAAGTCACCGTCTACTCGAATTATAACATTTTCTTCAAAACGAATTTCAAATTGAATCGAATACGTTCGAATATTCTGAACGAATCGAATACTGAGTTCGATCACAAACTAAATACAAATTCGAATATTTTACCGAATCCGAATCGAATATCTTAATATTCGTTTCGATTCGATCCCTTTACAACCCTAGGTCAAAGTCACCGTCCCCCTCAACGCGGACGTCTACTCGAGCCCCTCCACCGGCGCCCCTTCCGGCGGCGACTTCCGCGCTGACATCCACGACTTCATCCTCCCCATCGTCCGCCTCCTCAGCGACACCCAATCCCCCTTCACCGTCAACATCTACCCTTTCATCTCTCTCTACACCGACCCAAATTTCCCCGTCGAGTACGCCTTCTTCGACGGCACCGGCGCCACCCCAGTCGACGACTCCGGCACCTCATACTACAACATGTTCGACGCCAACCACGACACCCTCGTGTGGGCCCTCCGCCGAAACGGTTACGCCAACATCCCCATCATAGTCGGCGAGATCGGCTGGCCCACCGACGGCGACCGCAACGCGAACCTTGAGTACGCCCGCCGCTTCAACCAAGGGGTCATGGCCCGAATCTCTTCGGGCCGAGGGACTCCCATGAGGCCCGGCCCGCTCGACGCGTACCTCTTCAGCTTGTTCGACGAGGACGAGAAGAGCATACAGCCCGGGAACTTCGAGCGGCATTGGGGGATTTTTCGGTACGACGGCCAGCCAAAGTACGAGCTTAGCCTTAATGGCGGGGGATCGGGATTGGTGGGGGCGAGGAATGTGACGTATTTGGAGGCCAAGTGGTGCATTATGAGGCCGGGGGCGAGGCTGGACGATGCCAGGGTGGCGGCGAGCGTGAGCTACGCGTGCGGGCTGGCGGACTGCACGTGTTTGGGGTACCAGACGTCGTGCAGCGGGCTGGACGCGCGGGGGAATATATCCTACGCGTTTAATAGCTACTACCAGAAGAATAACCAGCTGGACGATGCTTGTAAGTTTAACGGGCTGGGGACGGTTACGCGGGCCGACCCGTCGGTTGGGAACTGCAGGTTTAATGTGATGATAAAGCCGTATTATGGGGGTGGGGCGAGGAAGAAGGGGTTGTTTGGTCTAGGTATTGGGTTTCTAGCGGTTCTTTTGTTGACGGCTGATTTNTGTGTGTGTGTGTGTTTTGAGGTTGTTTGTATTGTTGGGGGTGGAATTTGGTTGGGATTGAAGATGGGAGCTAGTTGTTGTGACTTGCTGCTTCTTTGTTTATTTTTTTGTCACTTTACCTTTTTTTGTGATTAGTCTTGTTCATTTAGACTGTTAATGTTGTACCATTGATGGGAAATTTGTAGGGGTAGAACAAGATTGATTCCTAGGGGTAATGGCTGATCAATGGAAATTTGTATTGGCTTCTATCTATTTTTAGGTTTCTTTTTATTTTTATTTTTATTTTTTTTGAAGTCACTAAGACTTCCCTAGCTTGGTGGTGTTGTGGTTTGGGGGCAGCATCAAATGGTTTGACACTTTGACTGTAGTGCCTGTAGACATGTTTAGGGATTTCTGAAATTCTTTTGCTTCCTGTGATGGTTCAACTCTAGTGCTCTTTAGATGTTGAGTTGTTTATGAATTTTTTGGCAAGATTTACAATTCTAAAAAATCTTACCTCTTCTTCTGTTTTGTGTATATTATTTATGTTGTACAGGTTTGGAGTGAAATTGGAGACATCTAGTGTATGTTATAATTTATATTAAATTCTACATTGACCAATAGCACCGACAAATTAATCGTGTACACAAAAAATGGAAGTGAGATCAGTAATGTGAAGAAACAGTCTTTTAGAATTGAGATAAGGAATGGTAGAAACAAAAGTATCTGGAAGGATCTATGGATTATCTTTTCGGCGAATGATGCGTGTGAAGAGAGAGAATGTAGGTAGCACAATCCATCCGCGAATTAAATTCTTGGACCCCTTGTTGACTGATAAACGAATTTGGTCTCTGGATGCACAAGGTAAATTTTATATGGCTTGCTCTTATGCCAGACTCATAAACAAGAAACTTTGGGAGTTGGATTTAGCAGAACGTAGTAGTTCTACTGAAATGGCCAGGAAAGCATTTTGTGGAAATGTTACACCAATATTTTGCGTGTCAGGTAAAGCCTGTAGAAGAGGGGTATGGACATTGATCTAATCTGCCAAGGTGGTGGTGAAGATTATGAATCTGTGGAGCATGTATTTTTTAGCTGCAGTAGGGCTCAAAGATTGGTTAACATCACCTACAAGCTCATTCAAAGACTGGTGATGGAAAGTTTGTTCAGAAAGAAGTTCTCCGAAGCCACTGATAGCAGTCTAGTAAGCCCGATGGTGATACAAGACGTGACTCGGACACTGGAAAACGCGATGTGGTGATGGCGAGGCCAAATCCGACAGCCTAACAGACTCGGAGGTTCAGACGATCTCCAACAGCAAAAATCAGAAACGTATCAGAATCGGTAAATTTTTTTAAACCGTAAGTCATGATCCTAACTATAGATTCCGCTGCGTTGGGACTTATTTTCAATAGATTTGAAGGTGAACATCGACAACGTTCCTCATTGAACCCAACAACTGGTATCAGAGCCCAGACGAATTCATCTTTGTGCACTATTCGAATTAGGACTTGCGTAAAATATGTGAATTGTTTGTGTACGAGCGCAACACATAGTAAATTAAAATTGCAAATAAGTGTTGTCTGCAGGAATTCTTAAATCCAATTATTGTAGCCCTCATGTGTGTTTTAATTCTTGTATGTTTTATAAGCCTTCATTACAGGTTTGTCGGTAAAGTAGTTAAATTTGTGCATTGGCATCAGGACCTTCCTCCGCAGGACAAATTTTAATCACAATTTACAAGGACAGATCTCCTTCGGGATGGTAATAGAAAAAACTATTTCAAAAGCGTAAGGATCGTCCACAGACGGACGTATAATTTTGGTGGTGGATCTGGTACCAGTCACTGGTCACACTTAGAGAATGTCAAATAATGGTCTCCCAGAGGAGTCGCCACTGTCATTTGTGCGGGCTAAAAGTGGACTGACTATTAATTATGTGTTGATATGTCGACACAATAATTAATAGGTTAAAAACCCTCCTCTTACGACGGTATGATGCGATGATGCATAGACGTCCACACCACAGTGGCCTACAGAGATTCGGTGTTTTGAGGTGTCAGTGAATTTAATAAAATATTGTTGTTAAGGGATCAATATTATTTGAGATTAAATTCGAACACTTGACTAATTAAAATTTAGTTAGCATGATCTCTAAAATTCAAAATATCTTTCAATCTGTTGTCTGTTATTCTCAAAGATAAATTACTAAAACTTATTAGTAATAGAACTTGGATAGTGTCCTAAATTGCTTGGAAGCAGGCGACGAAGGGCAAGTGAATCTGGTTTAAGCAAAATGGACATAAGACGAATTGTCCTATTCTTAAGATAAAAAAGTATATCTTATTTATTAAAAAGTCGAAAAAAATTGGTGGTGTTATCTATCAGTATCTGGTGAATAGATACGAAACTGCAAATTATGTAAAAAGGTTCAAGAAACCAATCGACATGTAATAGGTAGATTACGATCTAGAATGAGTTTACTACAAAAGTGACAGCTATTGCAGTGAGAGTTGTCTATTAAATAAAATTTTGGTTTTGAGGAATTGTCTTTACGTGTCATGTTTTAGAAAGAATTTGATTTCAGTTTCTAAATTGTTTATGGATGTTACATGTTGTTTGATTGCAAGTTTGTTGTTCTGAAACCGAAACATTTTATCCATTTGGACGTGGTTATGACTGTTATTATGAGGATTATGCATTAATATATTTTGAAAACTCTAAAATATGAGTGACTGTGTAATGCCCCATTTATTTGTGGTTTATTTGAGGTATTATTATTATTATTATTATTATTATTAATTATTGCTTGCCAAATTGAATGTCTAAATATTATATGTCTAATTGTCAATTAATTGCTAATTGTATATTTTGATTAATAATATTAGTATTTTAAAATAATGTACGTATTTAACTTATATTGTCCAAAGTTTTGTTTATTTATCGTGCGATCGTTTTGAACTGTCGAAATTTGTAATCGGAGAACCCGACCCCGAGTGCTGGATTTAGTTTTCGTGTGTTTGAAACGAGCCTGAGAGTCGAATTTATTAATCGTGCCATTAAACCGGCCCGTGGGCCAAACCCGCAGCCGAATCGACCCGCCCCACGACCCGGTTCTCTCTAGTCCCTTGTGTGTATGTTACTTGAGGAATAAGAGGAGAACCCTAGGTCTATTAGGCCATCTCCAGCCCTTATCTCTACTCTAGCGCGGACTTTACTCTACTCTAGAGTAGAGTTGAACATTCATCTCCAGCCCTTATCTCTACATTAAATATATTATTTTTTTATTCATTTTTTATTTCAAATAAATTGGTATATATGTATATTTAATCTTATATAAAATGTTAATTACTCAAATAATAAAAATATATTTTATTTATTTTTATTTCGAATAATTTGCTATATATATAATTGTAATAAATTGAATTTCTTAAAGAAGATACATATACATCTATGTACCGATTGAATCAAAACTGTTACTTTTGAAAATATATGAATTAGTGCAAATTTACACACTAGACCATATATGGTTTAGACCATATCTTGTGCAAATTTTATTATGTATATATATGATCTTAGCCATTGATCTTTAGATAAGAATCCTACGGTTGATTCAAATTTATTATCTTTTTTATTCATTTTTATTTCAAATAAATTCTAATATATGTATATTTCATCTTATATTCATTTTTGGTGGTATTTTAATATTAAAAAATTACAAAATAAAATTAATATACATCAATTTTAATAGTAAAAAAATGCAAAATTAAATTTATAACACATCAATAAATAAAAAGCACAAAGTTATTTAACATAATAAATACATTTATTACATATTATAGAAACAATTACCAATAATATATATATATATATGTATATATATATATATATATAAAGGAAATGATAAAAAAAAAGAAGATCTAGCGCAACAGCAACAGTATTGCGCCAGATGTAGAGATATACTGTAGATATCTTTGTTGTGGCGCAAAATTGTAGAGATGCACTGGAGGAGTTTCGCTGCGCAACTCTAGAGTAAAACTCTAATCTGGCGCTGCATTGGACATGGTCTTAATCTTGCGCTCAACTCTCACGATCCGCAGCTTTTCAAATCCCTTGTCAATTATCTCACGCACTCGATGTCGACAGAAAACAAACTCTCATCTCATTCTCTCTTGCAAATTGATCACCATCGTCGTCAATCTCCCTCCCCCCCTCTCTCGCATCTCGTTCACACAGCGCAAGGAAAAGAGAAATCCTGTCGCCGATCACCCTCATCCTCCTCGTCGCCCTGTTCCCTGTCCGCGACCACGAAATTCCGGCGAGTCCTCCTCTGCGATTTCCGTCACGCTGCAGTCCCTTCCGGCGACCCACCACCGCGTGCAGGCTTCTCCGCCGCGACCAGCCACTGAATCTGTCAGCGAGCCTCGCCATGAACCTGCTTCTTCTCGCAAAGACCCGACGATCATCGGCCTTGCTGCAACTCGCCGTCGCTGCAACTTCCGGCGGCCACCATCGCCGCCTGCTCGCAAGTCCTCTGCGCGCCGCCCGTCCTCGCCGTGAACCAGTCACCGAGGCTGCAACCACCGGCGGTCAACCCTTGCCCGCGGACAACCTCCACCGTGAGTTCTCCTCTTGCAACCAATCGTCGTCGAATCCTCAGTCCCTCGTGATCTCCTCGAGCCGCCAACCCCGTCGAGCTAGCCGCCATCGAGTCGAGTTCCGTCAGCCAGCAACCGTGAACCACAGCAGCCCTTTCTGGCGAACCCGTGTGCCGCTGTTCCTCCTCGATCTCCTCCTTTTCCGGTGAGACGCGTGAAACCGTCGAGCCCGGCGTCCCATCAACCCGTTCGAACCATTCTCGCTCGCTTCCCGAGAACGGTATCGAGCTTCGACCCTTGTTATTTATTTTTGTGTTTTCGGTTAATGTATTAGTCGTGCATCTCGATTTTATATGCTATATGAAGATATGTGAATAGGTAATTTCATGTGAGCATTGTATCTATTTTTGTTGGCGTGATTTCAATGTTAATTTCGTCGATTCGTGCGAATCGAATGAGAACCCGTTAAAAATGTCAAGTTGCTTGGATTTAGGGACTTAGGATTATTGCGAACACAATGGCGTTGGACTTGTGTCGATTGGGCGTGTAAATTTGTGGTTATGCTTTTTCGAAAATTGAAATTGTTGTTTTAAATGTAAAATTCACTATAAATTGAATACTATGTCAATTGCCTTGAACTTTTAAGTGGAGCTGTTTCTGATGAAATTGTAGCTTGTGTAAAAATTTCGTGATTGTAAAGACCTGTAGATATTTTTAAAAATTAAATTGATTTCTGTCCAGATTCTTGTTAAATGCATAATTATTTGTGTATTGCTTCAATTTGGCTGATATTCGATTATGTTGTGTTTCTATAATGTTTATGTGTTGTGTAAAATTTTTAGAATTTTTGGACTAGGTTTGATAGGGTTAATAATTTATTTTGTGTTTCTGCCCGAATTTGTTTTAATTGTGATAAATTGGTCAGAAGCTGAAAAATTCTAATATTTGGTTGACATGCTCATTTTGTGATGTTTTGCATAGTGTATAAATATTGGAATTTTTGGAGATCATTTAGGTTCATTTCTGATGGAAATTCGATAATTGGCTGAATGTTGTTTTAATTAATATATATACTGAGTGTTAAAGGCTGATATTTTTATGTGTCACATGCTGATGTTTCTTAGATAAAAATTTCATGGCCTGAATCGTTCATTATCATGTCTTTCTAATTTAAGCTCGTTTTTGTTGAAAAACTTGTTTGAATTTTATAAAATTGGGTTTAATGAGTTTGAGGCTGAAACTTGGTGTTTTTACTAAATTCTGGGAGGTGAATTTTATGTAAAATTTTCAGAGCCTAACTCGTAGGTTTGATATACCTTCTATTTCAAGTGTGAATTTTGGAAATTGTTTTATTTGGTGATTTTCGGTTAAGTGTTGTTGACCGAATTTGCTATGTGTCTACGTGTGACTCGTTTGTTTGTCTTTCACTTGCAATTATGTGAACTTGAAAATGAGGTCTGATCGAGTCTAAGTCCTAGTGTTCCCATATCCACAGAACTTCACGAACCACTTGGTCGAATCGAGTTCGGCTAAGTCAACTTGTGAATTTTCTACTTAGGTCTAGATTAGAGTGTTGACTTTAGTATCTGGACTTAATGTAGGTGTCTAGAGGTGTTGACCTCGTCCTACTTTCGAGATTCGTGATTTGATCTGTTGCTGCATCC